GGAGACAATCACTTTTATGAGAAATATATTTTATGTTTCTATTAGGACTGAAGTAATACTTGAATGTTTTTTTTAAAATTTTTCGCGGGACTCAATCATATGAACATATTTAACATTATCTATAGAATTACGATGTATAAAATAAAGTTATAACCAGTTTTTATGCTTAAGGTTGTTGAGATAGATTTGAGAAGAATAGTGTTCAAAATATTAGGCCTACAGTCTACTGGTTAATAGAAATATTCCTTATAATGAGTGATATATTTGAAGCCTGTTCTACGATATTTTTGATATAACAGTTCAGTGAACGTCTATACAAATTTTATGAGTAATTAATGGTTCAGGTTACATTTAATTCTTGCTGTTAGTTGGTTGATCATCTCTTTCCGATGTTTTTGACGCTGAATAAAGTTTAATTCGATAGGGTTATGTTAGTAAGGTTGTAAATCTATCTTGAATCTAAAGAAAAGTGAAGTTTTATGCATTGTGAAAATGACAGTACGGCCAAACAATGCGTACCGCAGTGGTTTTAATTGATATATTTTGTGAACTATTGTATTAATAGATAGGAGTAACGAACATTTTACTTTTGCTGTTTTAACTTTGAAAATAAGAAACTGGGTAGTTACTTGACGAACTGATAGTTTGAACAAGGTGATGTACCACTGCACGCTTCGATGAAGCAAAAATGCTGTTCAGAAGTATTACACAATAATATTTCTAGGTACAATCAAAATGTATTTTATTAGTTAAATCTGTAATATTTAAATGGTTTAATCTTGGTCCGTCACATTATTCCATTAACTGGAAAAGTCTTCAATATTTAATTCGACCCGATTATTTTGAATATTGCAGTCCGTAACACACTGAGACTTGATTCATCAATGTTTAATTGGTTAGCTTAGTGACTGGGATTCATTGATTTCTGAACACTTACAGAATAATCTTATTTACTATTTTATGAAGTATTATCTGATTTAGTGTTTATTCATTTAAAGAAGAACTGTGATTGAATGTCTGATTCTGTTCATTTACCAAATATTACGAACGAAGTAGCTGAGGCGTCCGGATTAATTCGATATTCAATTATTCAGTTATATGTATTTTTCAGCTGAACCTCGATTTTGACGAATATACTGGTGCTGAAAAAATTGAGTTCTTCTCTCCGTATCTAGATTTAGATTTAGTGAATAGTTTGGTGATGACTTATAAGTAGTCTCTGTTATCTATAGTTGAGACATTTTATCAACAATAAACATAGATTTAAAACAGTAGTATTGAATTAATTGTTTATACTTAAATATCAGATCGGTATAACAGATTTTACAGTAACGAGAGATACACTGACACTAGAAATTAATAACGTAAAAAGACATTACCATCAACACTAATCCGTTAGTATTACTATAATATTCGATATCTGGTAAGTGAACATACACATCAAAGTTTATTGTGCATTTTTTTCATTTTTATTTCCATTTATTAAAACTTTCTTTTGTTACAAGCTGTCAGAATTGAATTAGTTGATAAATGTTTGTCTTAGTTAGGAAAGACATTTTCAGGATGTGAATGAAAAAAAAAATCAATAGAAACCTTGCAAGGCCATTAACCTAGGTTGTAATAATTTCTTTATGGTATGACAGACTTTATGATAAACAAAATCTTTGTGCACATACATGTACATATTGATTAGTTGAAAACTGAACAATCTAAACCAGAATAGTTTTGTATTAGTGTATAGAAATTTGAGCCAATCAGTATTACTTGTGGACTGAATAAAAATTTCCCAGTTTTTTTTTCGGATCATAAATTAAAATAGTGTAAATCAGTAAATATAGTATTGTTGGAATTATTACACTTATTTGAATAATACACAATATTTTCGAAATAATGGGCTCCAAATCAATTATGGATGTAGTGAGAGATTTACGGAGAGCATCGAATCTTCGAAGAGCATCCATGTTTAACGAAGATGTATGTTATTGTTTTTGTTGAATTAATCGATATATATATATGTATTCTGTAATAAGCTCATTTGAACATTATTTCAATTAATATTCAGTTCAGAAGCTTATTTAGATAGGAATAGGTTGTTGATAAAGCACTGATATCTGAATTCAGGTTAAAAGATAGCTGGTAACAGGCAGACTGACTGTTTGAGTGGTGAAACTCTTAAATTTTTCTTTCAGCTTGAATATATGGTATTTTAAAACGTTTTAAGATTTATACTTTCATATGAGTAAGCCTAACTCAACCTAGATTTTTTTAAAGTGGTAAACATTGGGCGTATCAGTCAAAAGTCTATGTCGTAAATCTTTTAGTAAACAGTTAAAATTTTTTAACTCTTACTCGACCAACATTTCCAGTCTGGCAATGATTAGTCTATCTGCTTTTATCGATTAGCTTTAAAAACATTTTTATTAAGTTTACTAACTTCCAGTCCATTCAATGATGTGCATTTTCGGACATTGATCTTTACTAATAAAGCTTAAACCAATCATTGTTTTAGTGTTTAAAGTCAACTGAAGCTATTGAGATCACTTTAACATCCAGTTATTTTTTTGAGAAACATTAGGAAAAAATTAATTAAAAGTTAGAAGCTGAGGCTGACTACGATATTTTATCCAAGTTAACCTTATAAACTGGCCGCTAAATTACTTAACATGTCATATAATGTTCTTAAGCTCTTTTCTATTCAATGACTAACGTATTTAGCATGCAGTGAACAGATTAACTATTGAACACACAATGAAGTAATAAAAGCTGATGCTTAACCAAGCCAAATTGTGATTACAACTTGTTTCAACCAATGTTGATATGCTAAGTGTTTACTTAATTCAGATGAGATTTTCTGATCAAAAATATCTGCGTTTTAGTTAGAGATCATTATGTTCAAATCTATTTGTTTGGTACATAAATAGCCGACTACTTTTTATATCATCACAACTTGTATTTTCGTGATGATGATGATATTTTTCACAAAATAAAATTTATTAAAAAAGAAGAAACAATCTCTTGTTAACAAAGGACATGACGATAAAAACTTGGAAAATCTACTAACATTTACTATCCGTCAATTTTATGTTAAGAAAAATGACTTGATCTGAAAAGCAATTGTCAAGTCTAAATTCGTAAATATACTTCGATAATGGTTTTAAAATAAAATAATCTCAATGAAAAATCAATGTAATAATATCCATGCTGATATAGTTTGGTAAAAATATGATTTAAGCGCCAACCAAATCACTATTGATGGAGATGACTTGGAGGACGTTAACACCTTTACATATCTTGGCAGCATCATCGACGAGAAAGGTGGATACGATGCAGATGTGAGGGCGCGGATCGGAAAAGCAAGGGCTGCATTTCTACAATTGGAAAACATCTGGAACTCAAAACAACTGTCAACCAACACCATAATCTGAATTTTCAATATAAATGTCAAGAAAGTTCTACTGTATAGGGCAGATACTTCGAGAACTACGAAAGCCATCATCCAGAAGATACAAGTATTTGTTAACAGTTGTCTGCGTAAAATACTCCGGATTCGTTGGGCAGACAGCATCAACAATAATCTACTATGGGAGAGAACAAACCAGATTCCGGCGGAGGAGAAACTCAGGGAGAGGCAGTGGAAGTGGATAGGACACACATTGCGAAAAGCACCCAACTGCGTCACAAGACGAGCCCTCATTTCGAATCCTCAAGGTCAAAGGAAGAGAGAAAGCCCAAGAAACACATTACTCTGAGAAATGGAGACAAATGAGATGAATGAACAAAAATTGGACAAAACTGGAAAAGGAATCCCAGGACAGAGTAGGTTGGAAAATACCGCCGGGCGGCCTATGCTCCATTAGGGGTTACAGGCGTAAGTAAGATAGTAAGTAAATATGATTTAAGTTGAGGTGAGTCACATTAGGTAATAGATAATTTTAAGTTGTAAATATGAAACAGTAATATATTTAAAATTTTATAACTACTATGTTTAATTTTTGATGGATGATAAAAATAATATTAGCTTTTTAAATTTCTGATTTTATTCTTCTAATTACATAAAGTTTTTAATATTAGTGCGATTAAAAAGTTTTAATTTTCCTATGACTTAATCAAAAACAATATACAGAAGTTATCATTTCACTACGATAAAATCATTGATAGACGATTGATCCGCTTTTTAAGAAATTGTATCACCATTATTATGCATCAAGAATAAATAAATATGCACATATTACCCATGAAAGTGTTGTGTTTTATTTTTATGACGATAAGACAGATTATTTGTCGGTAAATTTTGATGGGTTATTCATGAAGTAAAGCTGCTACGCTTCCACAACTGCTGGCTGGAACACGTAATCAGTCAAGTCAGGAACATAAGCTAAACGGTAAATAGGAGAATAAATTAGAATCATGGTTCGAAGTGGGGTACATGAAGTTAGTCAATGGTTAAGGACACAACCATGAGGGTAACGTTGAAATAAAAAATAGCATTCTCTCACCTTTTTTAATCTTGTTAATATTGATCTGTACAAAACCCATTAACAGAATCTGATAAATAGGAAACATGTAATACATAAATGATATATATATCTACACTGATCTACTTAATAATACTTCAGTAAGAATATATACATTAATAGTCTATAAATTAATTCTGGCTGTTACCATTATTTGGTCTTTACTAGATATAATGCGCATTAGCTACCAATTGATTAGAGTTACAAATAACAAACATTTTATATCATGATAAAAAGGTGACTGATTTCACAAGCAGAATGAAAAGGTAATCGATTATTTAATCAATCAACACGACTGAGACAGAATGGACGGACAAGAATAAAGCTATGCAATAGTTGACAGTATATTTTAATATTGTTTTACTACACAGAGATTGATACGATTTAAAAAGGTTGATTTTGTACAGTGTTAGTTTTTCAGTTTTCTTTTCATTAAATCATTCATCTTTTTTCGCTAAACTTTGATACATATTTATTTATCTTCAGTTTTTAATCACACGTTTACCGGAGAAAATTATGCTGCAAATTTTTTCGCATTTAAGTCATCCAGAATTGTGTAATATTGCACGTGTTTGCAAAATGTGGCGTCGTCTAGCATATGATCATTCATTGTGGCAATCACTTAATTTACGACCGGAATATGGTGGGATATTTGTGAGTGCAATTTTAAAATTTCTATTAGAATTGATTTATTTTGAACAAATTTGAAATATTTTCATTGCAAACAATCAGTGAGATTAGTTGGCTAAACTAAAATTTATTTAATTTTGGTTACGTATATTTCATTGGAATATTTGTGTCATATAAGATGAAACTGGTCTCTCATAAAACTCTATAGACAAAGATTAGCTGACAAGTGTAAACTTGTTATAACTTGAATGCTTGAAAATTCTCATGAAGTCAAATCGATTAGGTAGCACTGACTGAATTTAGTTGGATAAAGTGAATTTGTATGTTTATCAAATTTAGGAAGCATTTTCACTATTTTTCCACTGATTGTTTAACATAACATAAAGGTCTGCTACAAATGCTACGTGGATTATCTTTTTTCACCACAATAAAAAGACATTGTGACATTTATTAAAACCACTTAATCTTCTACAATAGTGTTTGTAGGGAAACAGAGATACTGATAAGTTTATTTACAAACATTAATTGAATTCAGTATCTAAATTATATTTTGTCCACAATCTATCTGAATTAAACTTAGCTACACAAATTAAAAAAAAAGTCAATCTACTTATGGTAATCCGAAATGAATAATTGAATAATGAATTAATCATTCAAAAAGGTCAATGATCTTCTCGACACACGTTCAGTTAGTATAGTAAAATCTACCACTTTTAATGTGTATCCTTTGTTGGCTAACGACGGGTTAAATCGAAATAGTTTATTTTGAACATGCAGAATTGTCAGAATCAAGGGTAGAAAAAAGGATAAATAGGCTAAGTATGTAATGGTTAATTAATATATAACTGTGATATCACAATTTTCTTATCAATTTTAACAGATATGAAAAATCGAGTACATACTGTTAACAGACAGCAAATTAGGCAACATATTTTGTTGGGTGATATTGACCAAATATGGTAATACTTTTTTGTCACCATACTTGTTGTAGCTTACTAAAATACACATTTTGTGTATAGTTTGTATGTTTAGTTTAGGATACGAATTAATTACATTTTAATGTTTGATAAAGTAGGGTTTATAACAAGAACATAACTTTTCTTAGGATTCTTTTTTCATTAAATATAAACAATGAATGCCATCTAAAATAGTTTAATGGCTAGATATGAATCCATGTTAAGTATTTAAGTAATTTGTTGCTAAAATACCTTAGCGTTTTGGCACTATTTCATCTAAATTTCTTGCATTTTAACTGCCATCTATGACTATCTGATTCGTTTAGCAGTACATACGGAATCATTTGGGGAATGATACTTGTCATAAAACGCAGTAATACGAATCGGCTTGATTTCTGTTTACCTAGTTATGGTGATTTTTAACAAGTATTGCGTTCACATCACAACTTTAAAAGTGACTCGATAAACATACAAAGAACTCTAATCTCGCATCCTTCAGATGATTGACAAAGTTGTGAACTGAGTCAAAGCAATGCGTAAACTTAGTATGCTTGATACTCTGATTTCAACTTCAGAATTAAAAGATGCTTTATTTCACCAAAATACATCAAGACATTATTTTAAACTTGTTGTTGGCCATTAACAAAGTAGATGTATTCGTTTGGTAGTTAACAGTCTAGCTTCTGGGTTTTACCATTTTGATGAAAGTACAAGAAGATAAAAATGAAAGTGTATTATACTGTTGAGTCTTTTACAGAGAAAAACTGTTAGCCTAATCTCTACATCACCAGCCGACGATCTATTCCATCTAGTACGAATATTTAGTTTTTAAAACCACCAATTAATAACTAATAAGAATCTGTGCTGTTGACTTGCTTTTAGATTTGTGATAACACAACTTTTAACGGTCAAGGTTTGAAGGGGAAAATCCAAACCACTAAACAGTATCTTGAACTGAAGTTGAAAATTGTTTATATTTACCTACCTTATTCAATGAATCAATATTCTGCAGAACTGTTAACCGCATAATCTCTATCATCGACTTGTAATATAATCCATTTATAAATCTACTGTCAAATGAAATAGTTGCTGAAAACATGCCACAATACTATTTTCATTAATTTAATCCTGTTTCAATGGTTAGTAAGTACTTCAATGCTATTCGAAACTTTATAGCCTCTGTAACGTTCTGAAGATAACGAATCGGAATTTATAACAAATTACAAAGAAATAGGCAGTTTCTTTTTGATGACTTAAACTTCATTTAATTCAGTAACTTTTAATATATATTTATTCGAAATAAAAAATTTTTCGTTACAACATATTATCACTGTTTAATGGTTCTCATTTAGTATATCTTATTATTCTTCTATAGATATTGAATACTCCATTCTTATCACAGTGCTTTTGTTTAAAATAAACATGAATTTTTTTAGGTGAGATCAATTGATGAGCTGCTAAATCTTATTCATCATAGATCTGGAAGTGGTTTAAGACACATCGAATTATCCAGTGATTTAGTCACTATACCAGTTTTAGAAGAACTTGGAAATCGATGTCCAAATCTTCGTTATTTAACTCTTGACTTTTCTAATGCTATGCAACTACACGATTTCAATGAATTAGCTTCATTCCCATCATCAATTAAATATTTATGCATTTGTTTAAGTGATGTAATATTTATGGAAGGTTTAATGCGAAAAATTTATTCGTGTTTATCAGCAGTTGAAATTTTGCATTTAATTGGTAAGTTCTCATTGAGCTTATTGAAAAAAATTAAAATATCTCTCAAAATTGAACGAGAATGGAAATATTACTAGTCACATTTTTAAAAAAAATATTTCATAGTTAACCAGTTGGCATGTTTAAAAATTCTCTTTATCAACTGGGGAATAATATCCTAGAACTTGGTTTTCACCAGCTAAGTTATTTCACTAATTTTACTCAGAAATGTGATCCAAGTTCATGTGTACAAAAAAGAATATACACGTCAATCTGTTCTCACGAAAGTAGGCATGGTTGTCTATCGAGAATTTTGACGTTAACAAAAAAATTATTCAAGACATAATCGAGTGAAAGACATTAAAAAATAAATACTGACAGTATTGTGGTGGTGTTTCGTTCTCTGAGCTGGATGTTTTGGTTGTGGAGCTTTCATTGTTCTTCTGAACAACATCATCAGCGCAAACTTCAAATATCAACAAATGAAATAAACATTGTGTATTATTATTGTCATTGGAAATTTTTAACCTAACAGCTATCATGCTTTTGAAGTTATTTAATACCGTTTATGTACGTATTAGTTACTGATTACTTAAATGATAACAATCAAAATCATCAGCAGGTACTTTGAAAACAACGGTTTTTCGAGAATATCTTCATTCACAACTTTCAATAAAGGTATAAAAATCCATATTAGTGATTTGCACTGCATTGATAATTAGCGAATATATGCGTATTTGAATGATTTTTAAAAACTGATGAACCGAACAAGTGGTAACACTAATAAATATTAAGATTATATGGCTATTATTTTTTTAAAAAACTAATGAATATGTAGACTTTGTTTCAACAGAGCAGTATGTTATATATATGTTAATAATAATATCAAGGTAAATTAAACCCACCTAACATGAATATGGATTCATATAACATAATAAATTGAATCGATCTGAAATGATTCAGGTTGTTCCGTTGCTGATATTTCTACTGACATTTGATCTTTCTTAGCTGGCTTATGAGTATCCTATGCAGAATACTTCGATGTATGCATTATGATACACGTTCATATGAAATTAGATAGAATGTGACTAGTAATGAAATCCAGGACGTGTATTTCGTCCTACTTCAGTTTAGTCAGCTAGATGTATCTGAATTCCAGTTTTGATATTCACTCCGGGACTGCAACACTGTATCATTTGTGTTCAAACCCTATCGCGTTATCTAGTTAGCTATGGTGTCCAAGTAGCCCCTTTTTTCTGTATGGAGTTTGAGATTTGATTCAATCTGAAAAACTGGATAACACGATGGTATTAGAAACAAATGGTTCTAAATTTGTGTCACACTGAAATGCAGGTATATCCACCTGAAGATTTTCAAAATGAACGAAACGCGTGTCACATTCTATCTATTCTATGTTGAAAAGAAGAATTTTTAGGAAGCAAAAATATCGAACAAATTATAATGTAATATATATTTTCGAAACTTAATTCATTAGGTACCACATAAATGTAAAAATTAAATACTCACTCTTTTAAACTAGTTACTAATGATAATAAATGATCTAATCTACAAAACGTCGTGTAGTGATACTACGATCTCGATTTCAAACGGATAAAATCTCACCAGTTTCGTTATTCGGAATATGTCTAATATATTCTAGAAACCGTAATTACTTACTTACTTACTTACGCCTGTTACCCCCAATAGAGCATAGGCCGTCCCTCAGTTTTCTCCAACCAACTCTGTCCTGAGTTTCCCTTCCCAGTTCTATCCAATGTTTGTTCATTCCTCTCATATCTTTCTCTATTTCACGGCGTAATGTGTTCCTTGGCCTTCCTCTTTGCGTTTGCCTTGAGGGTTCCATGTGAGGGCTTGTCTTGTGACGCAGTCAGGTGCTTTTCGCAATGTGTGTCCTATCCACTTCCACTGCTTCTTCCTGATTTGCAACTCCACTGGAATCTGGTTTGTTCTCTGCCACAGTACGTTGTTGCTGATGGTGTCTGGCCAACGAATCCGAAATATTTTGCGGAGACAACTGTCAATAAATACTTGTATCTTCTGGATGATGGCTTTGGTAGTTCTCCAAGTTTCCGCTCCATACAGTAGATCTATCTTGACATTTGTATTGAAAATCTTGATTTTGGTTTTGGTTAGAAACCTTAATTACTTGTGAAATTTCTACTAGATATGCTGCTATTGGTTCATTATGAGTGACGGTTGACAATGCAATCAATCGGATATCAGAATGAATACACTGATTTGCGGTTGTCAGGACTCATGCAATAAATTGAATTCGCTCTTTACCATGCTGTATCTAGAAATATAATTCTGTCAATAAGTATTGCTTGTAAAAAAAAATCAATTTTACTGTTCAAAAGACTCATTTCTGTAAGCTAATATTCAATAAGAAAAATCTGATTAAAAACTGAGTTACAGTAGTTTTCTTTTAATTCTTTAAAGGAACATTTGAATTAGCTACAGAGGAAGAAGAAGAAATTTATGAAGTGAGTAAATTGTGAAAATAATTATAAACATTTTATTTTATTCTGGTAATTTTATGGTTGAGTAAAACACTAGTAGTATATGAAGTAACTATTTACGCTTAAGTGCTAAATAATCAGTCTAGATATAAACAAACTGTCTACTCATAAATACAAACAAATAACCAACCATTTATAGGGTTTATTGATGAAAAAGTTTTCAAATAATTTGAAACTTTTCAAACCAAACGGTCAGATATTTCACACTAGGGATGAGATAAATTACTACTCAAATAGATCAAGCACACACCACTATCCACTGTTTATGAGTTATTTAGTGAATCTTGTGAAGGATATTTGCTCAAACAAAATTATTTATTTTTTGAGACTGAAATCAAATGCTTTAGCAGTTGTAAGTTGATGATATACATGAGGTCATCAAAATTATCAGCTAACTGATTTCAGCTTTATCAGATATATCAAACACAATGCAGTAAAGAAAAATTCTGATTGTCACTAAGAGTCTAGTGGAATTATGTAATATGTATGTAGTAGTATGTAGTAGTAGCATGTAGTATGTAGTGGTAGTATGATTTGGAAAGTACGGAATTTTTCAATTTCGCTCTTATTATCATTCGTGTCATTCTCATTGTTGCGGTTATATTGCATCATACAGTACTGTGACAATCCTAAAACATGCCATTGATATTGGTAATAGTTTAAAGGTTTGAACATAGATCGTAGTAAATTAATCATATTTAATAGGTTTTTTGAATGAAAACGGATAAAAGTTATTGAAAATTTACAATAGCTTAATAGTTTGACATTACGTCTTCGCTAACTTATGAGTGGAAATAGTGACTGATGAAACTGAAGGTAAACATATTCTCCATGGTTTACTTATTTTTCAGGTCATCAATATAAGTAAAATTAAAGCTCATACACCTAATTTACGTGTTGTCAATTTATTCGGTATCAATTTCATTGAAGATAGTCATGTGGAATTATTGGCCAGCAATTGTATACATTTGGAATGTGTTGCGCTGAATTTTTGTTTAAATGTTAAAGGTTCATCATTTACATTGTTGATTGCAAATTGCAAAAAGTTGACAACTTTACTTTTAGAACATTGTGGTGAGTGAGATAAATTTTTTTATTCTGGAAATTTTATTTTATATACTGAATTACTAGAGTGTTTTATGGTTCGGCTTAAAACTATGTGTTTTGTTAATTTTAAATTTAGCTTACTGTCTTATGGTAAATGAAGAGTAAGCCTCTCAAATAGTTCGATTCTCACTTATTTTCCAAGTTAGTTAAGCCACGAAACCAAATTGCTTTTGTGTATTTTACACGACGCTTTGATAACACTTATGCTTAGTTTACATTTCAAAGATTATCTAAACGAAAATCTAAGGAATGCTCATAGTTTTTACTCACAAAACTTAGTTGAAGTAATATGAACTTCACTTAAGACATATTTTTAGATACAATTTATTCAGACTGTCTCACATTATTGAGCAAAACCTATCGGATAAAAGTATTAAATACTGAAGGCCTTGATTTAATCAGAATTAGGATGACGCTATGTACATTCTGGACAAAATTTAAAGTGCAGCGATAGGTAACCTGTTTTTAATTATCGGCGGATTAAAAATTGACAACATATGGCTCTTAAAATGCCTAAAATCATTAGGAGCTTATTTAGGAACAGTAAAATAAATTTGAGATTGTGCTTAAGTTAAACTACCAAACATAAGTGCTGTCAAGGGAAATCGTGAATTAGGGTACTTTTTGAAGTCCATTTCAGTGTCAAGAGTGTTTAGTGGGGTTAGATAATAAAAAATGACAAAGCACTGCATCGTTGCCGATGCCGACTCGTGATGAAATCCTGAACCACGACGTAAAGGATTAAACTCAGAACTCCATATTAGGTTTTAATAAATAACTTTTATCCTTTTTCTTTAAGTTGGTTTTAGTAAGTAAAGAAAATTAAGTAGCCCAACTATTATTATGTAAACTTAACCTTTTCCTTTCACTAAAAGTAACTATTTGACATGTTACTTGATTATTGAGATCAGAGCTATTATTCTACTGATAATATACTACTTTTCTGTTGCTGGTTGCTTGATAATTAGGCATCGTTTTCTGATTGATTTATGGGTGGCTTAACATCGTCAGTATATCATACTTTTACTATCCATCGAGTCATTTAAAAAGGTTAGTTAGTTTGCTATGTTATAAGAAATAATTACATTATATGAAAGGTGATCGAAAATGTTGGTAAGTTTCAAAAAAATCACTTAATGCACCAAATTAAAAGTTAACCACAGATGGTATGTGGTTAACAGTGGAATTGAGAATACGTGTTTCGTCCCGTATGAGACTAGTTAGCTGGATGTACCTGCATCCCAGTGTTGATTTTCCCTCTGTAACTCGAGCTCTATTTCTTTTCATTAACTTGTCTACATAGCTACTAAAACCTAATAGTCAGTGACACATTCATAGGATATGAAACTATAAGTAAGGCGGATTCTTTTGATACTTTCAATCATATGTAGAACATATTAGATAGGTAGAGAAAAGTCGATCAAAATTGGCCTGTATTTCAAATAATAATAGGCTACAGAAAAGCGTAGACAATTTTTTAAGCTTTACTTGTACACATACAGAGGATATATTCAAATAATGTCTTGATATTAATACCTAAATGAAGCAAGTCTTTATCCAACATAACTGATCTCATTAAAAAGCATGCAAATTTTGTGGAAAGTATCAATTTAAAGAGTCACTGTACCCGATTAGTCATTCCTACGTAACTAGAGTTTAAAACTTCAGAGTTCTAATAATAATTTATTTCATTACGGGGTTGTGAAGATTGCTAAGTTACACATATGAAATCATGAATCGATCAAAGTTAGACCACCATTAAAAACCAGGAAGCATTGGACGACCGTTTCGTCCTGGTATGGGACTCATCAGCAGTGCACATCCACGATTCCTGCAGCTCGCGTGATTCAAACCCAGGACCTTGAGTCTGGCGCGCGAAACGCCTAACCTCCGGACCAATGAGCAGGTATCCAATGCTGGTAAAGTCTAACTTCAATCAATTCACGGAATTGCGCAACCTAATACACTGTCTTCGGTAGTTACTGTCTACACCCGAACAGGTTGAACTTCACTGGTCGTGGATGCACACTGCCGATGAGTCCCATACCAGGACGAAACGGTCATCTAGTGATTCCAGATTTTTAATGGTGGTCTAACTTTGATCGATTCATGATTTCAAATATTTTATTTGCCTAAACAACAATGGTTTTATAATGGTGTACTTCTGAAAATACTGTTCTTGAACTTTTTTCATTTGTATGTTACTTTAGTTAGTTGACTTCATAATAATAATAATTTTTATAATGATTTATTTACATAAAGGCCTTAAAGATGAATTTATGATGGCCGTACCTTGGGAAAACTCTGGAATCTGTGAACTTGATATAACATCTACAGAATTATCTGCTGAATGCCTTGAAAATTTCTTAACACGTATACCATATTTTACTTACCTAGCAGCCGGTCATACAGATTTTTTTACTGACCATGTAAGTATTTTGGAGATTTCTTGACATAATAATTTACTGTTGGACCGAAATACAACCATTAATGGTTGCACTTATTATATTGAAAGTACTTTCTTCAGTTGATCATGAATCAAGTATTCTAAGTTACTAAACCAATTACTTAATGATTACAAGCATGGAAACGTTGTGGTTGTGTTTCGTTCTTTGAGCTGGATATTTTGGTTGTGAAGCTTTCATTGTTCTTCTGAACAACGACTACTGAAACCATTTGTAATAGGTGTGGCACAAAAACCAACAGAATCACTTCAATAAATCTTATGTAGACCAAAGGACAAAATGACAAAGGAAGAATAACCAAATATCATCTACAAAATAAATTGCTCAGACTATGAAAAACGCTACATAAGACAAAGTGGAGGCCTCTTCAGCTTCGTTTACAAGAACAATCAACAGTCAAACGCCACGACAACTCTTCGCTGCTATCAATACACACCGACATGCATTCGATTGCAACAGTGTGAAAATACTGGATAGGGGGAGGACAAGGAACACTATAGAATTCTTAGAAGCTTGGCACTCAGGTCAATCAGAAATCAACAAACACATCGACATTGACCCAATTTATCAACCAATCGGGAAAATCATGGGTGGCGTAGGATCAAGAAACAGATCAGAAGGGGGAAACAATCAAAACAAAGTTGCAAACAACGACAGGTTTAAGGTCAACAGCAACCAATCAAGATTGAGGTTAGCAGAACAAGCTACAGGTCAAACGTGAAGAAATTCGAATGCCTCACTTCCATCTGAAGTTTGTGCTGATGATGTTGTTCAGAAGAACACTGAAAGCTTCATAACCAAAATATCCAGCTCAGAGAAAGAAACACCACCACAATCATCCACTTGAGCCGCAAATTTTCTCCACCATCTCATGGAATCGTTGAATACTTTTGATTATAACTTTAGACTCCATCGTAGCAGTAATTCCAACAGAAAATAAAATGAAATAGAAGGAATTTAACTAGCAATAGAATCCAGGACAAACATGCTGTCAGATTTTGGACTAGTTAGCAGAATTTTTCTGAATTCCAGTTTTCATATACACTCTGGGACTCCAGTACAATAACATTTGTTTCAAACGCCTTTGCGTTATTCACTTAGCTATTGAATCCAGAAACTGTATTTCATTCAAAATATCAACAAAATGATAACCCAATACATCTCAAATCTAATTAAAACATTTTTATCGTACGTCAAAGCGGTTCAGTACTATGAAAATTTTTGAGCTTCCGACTGAATGTTGTTGTTTCATGCGCTCGCGTTTGTAGATAGACATAATAACGAGAAGCGTAAGCAAAACAAAGCGGAGAAGGAGAGTTGGCTAACTAGATCTGATGAGACGTGGCTAAGAATTTATTGTCAAAGAAAAATAAACTAGACATGTGATAAACAGAGTAAGACATGCAAACGCACTCAAATAAAATCACTCAGGATTATGACGGAATAATTAACAGGATCGGAATGCGAGTGAATAATGACTCTAGAAGAAAAGATTAGCTGGCTCATCCGAAAGCTAAAACAGACCGTGCAGGTTTGACATGATGATGCACCCAACAGCTTTTTACGAACAAGTAAAACTTTAAGAAGTGTTTCACAAACTATATTTTGTTAAAGACTGTGCTTTATATTACTTGACATACTCGTAAGCATTCACTGATATCTGTTTAACAGTGTGTTAATAGTGGCTTTAAAAGGTCAACCAAAATAAATGTAAATGAAGTTGATCATATTTGATTTTGTGAATATGGAAGCTGATTATCCATAAAACTATGAATATTTGTCTTAATTATATTATTCATTCACGTTAAATATGTTTAAACAGTTCTTAATAAAACTATCTGCAATATCGTCACCATTTACAAACGAATCCTAACTTTTAACCCCAAAAAGGTCTTAAGTAGATAGTAGTATTTGAACTAACTAACAATTTTAAATTTCAGCATAATAATTAGACTATCTGTTTTTTAGATACTGAATACGCTTTGTGACAGTGGTAAATTTAAACAAATCAAAGCTATTGATTTGAGTCACACACCAGCACTTGGTGAACAGTCTATAACAAATCTTCTTAAGCTTCATGGCCATCAGTTACATGGTCTTATGCTGCATGGCAAAGCCGCTTTAGCAGAATATTTTTGGACTACTGTCATCCCTTATCTTGGTGCAGTAAGGTATGCATTTAATTCTTTATGACTTCGTAATGTTTCTTTATTTGAGTAGTTTGTGGCAATCAATTTTAAACAAGGCGATAACTCTGGCTTTGGGCTTTTGATAACGAAAAGATCGCCTGGAACTAGGGAATGCCAGATGAATTTTGATTTTGGTCTGGAAATCTTCGGCTTTAACAGAAGTCGTGACCATTAGAGTTTAAATTTGTTCGAGTGTGAAGTAGTGCTCAATGAAGGCTAAGGTTGTGCTAGACTGTGAATTGATTGAAGTTAGACTTTAACACCGTTAGATACCGGCCCACTGGTTCAAAAACTAGGCGTTCGCGCGCAAGACCGAAGTTACTGGGTTTCAGTCCTACGAGGTGCATGAGTCTTGAATGAGAACTACTGATGAGACCCATACCAGGACGAAATGGCCGTCCAATGCTTCAGGTTTCTTATGGCGACCTATCATTGATCAATTCATGACTCCAGATTTGTAAAAAATTTCTAAAATTCCTAACCGGAGTAGTCAACTACGTTTGATGTGAATTGGCTAATAAAAATGGAAGATGGTTTTATCTTGTCAGAAAACGGATCACGGTCGAAAAAACAGACCGCTAAAACCGTTAACATTAATAGGTAGTATAAGTATAGGAAAAACTGTGAAGAGGGAATAGATGTAAGAAATATTTTTTTTATTCTCAATAAGCTGACTGGCGTATCATAAAATTCCCTTATTTTTTAAAAAAAACATTTTAGTTTCGATAGGACTTTTATAAAACAATCTTAATAATTTGGAGCAACTAAACATTAAGTATAATTTACTTCAATCAATAAGAAGTTGGTGGTACTGCAGAATGTAAAAATGTACTTGATCATTATCATTAACGAAGATAGAAAAAATAAAAGACCTTCAAATTTTCTGTACAAAATGGTTATAACGATCTTTCTAAAAAATTATAGGAATGATAGATAAAAAGTTATAATGTCTTTACAAAAAATGACCTTGTCTAGTGACAGTACTTAAAGGAATCGTTTTAAAGTGTGAAGAATTAAAAAAAAGACCGAAAGACAGTATTTGAAAGGTAAAAATGAAGTAACAAAAAATGACTGAACAAAAACTAAAATAGTTCGTGAAATTATTAGGTTTTTGAAAAATAACAACATCACCCAACATTGACAGTTAGATCACTTTAGCTTTTCAAATAACGGTTCACAGTGAATAGATTTTTTTTGAAACCATGAACCGATCTATGTTAGACCACCATTAGAAACCTGGAAGCACTGGACGGCCGTTTCGTCCTGGTATGGGACTCCTCAGCAGTGCGCATCCACGACTCCTGCACCCCGCAGGACTCGAACCCAGGACTTTCGGTATTGTGCGCGAACACACCAACCGGCAGACCACTGAGCCGGTATCTAACGGTGTTAATGTCTAACTTGATCAAATTCACGGAGTTGCGCAACCTCATACACAGTCTACATCCGAACAGGTTGAACTTCACTGGTCACGTCTTCCCACTAGAACTCGGAGAAGATTCCTCACGAAGCTAGTCACTTGTGAGCACAGGTAATTTGCATTACGGGGTTGTGAAGATTGTTAAGTTACACACTTTTGAAACCATGAACCGATCAATGTTAGACCACGATTAGAAAACTGCGGGGTGAAGGAGTCGTGGATGCGCACTGCTGAGGAGTCCCATACCAGCATGAAACGGCCGTCCAGTGCTTCCAGGTTTCTAATGGTGGTCTAACATTGATCGGTTCATGGTTTCAGTGAGTAACCCAACAATCTCCACAACCTCTTAATGCAATCATCAAGTAATACGTGTTGTTCTCTTAAATTTTGCTTCCAGTTTGGTTTTTCCGAAAAGCATTTCTATAATATCATCCAACCACGCCATGTTGTGATTAGCTGTTTATTTTTAAATTTAAAATAATTTTAAACAAAATAATCAGATTGTTTGGTTTTGTTAATTGAATCAAGGGTTTGTGTTCTTGGAGCGTCACATGGTTGGTTTTTCAAATACAACACACGCGTTCATATTGACAAAATTTTGGAAAGTTTTGCTGGATTTTGCCCACATTTAGAAGCATTAGAAATACAATGGGATCCAGATACTATTCGTTTTAGTGACAAAAGTAGAAAGTTCATTGATAGAATTCGGTAAGATTTTCAAAGAAAACATTGAATTATTAAAAAATCTATCTAACATTACAGATAGTAATTAAGTTTTGTTAGAGTTCTATGTTTTAAACAATTTTATTTTATAAATATCTAGCCACTGCTAAGAGCACTTATTGTTTAGAAAAATCCTACATTACTTATTACATTAGTTTAGATAATGAAATATCCTTGTACCATATAAATTCGTCGGTATGAAGGCTTTTTTTAACTCTAATGCTGATTTTATACCATAAATAATTCCGTATTGCTCTGGTTCTCCTAAAGCTCTGGAAGATAGTAAAATCAAATCATTTTCATTTTTGTCAGAAAAATATGTTGCGTGAATATCATACTTAAGATACATCGCATATGAATGAAAGTTTAACTGAGGGAATTTTTCTTAAGTGTCAACAACTATCATGCCAATAAAGCACAACAAGGTCTCTTAGTGTTTGCTCATGTACGTAAATATGACGTTCACTATGTTATGTTTAACAGCTTTAAAACATGAATTCCTATAATCTTCTTTGTGTTAACAAAAAATCTATTCCACTATCAGTATTTTGGGACTATCTATATAGATCTTTGAATTAATTTTAATGGGAAGTCTCTAGGTGGCTCTTATTGTTCCTAAGGATTTTTATTTTTGCCTTGTTAGTAGTCGGGAATGTACTCAGTTAGTTTCTGAAGGCATGTGCTTCCCATGAAATAATACCTTAGTATTTTCTGTACTGACAAGTTGATGACATTTTATAGAGTCAGTAGCAGTAGACTTATAATTAATAATAAATTTCATACTCTTTCAAACAAGTTTTATGACCATTATTGCACAACAGCTCAGTGAATCATGCCCTAGATTTAGAAATCTCATTACAAATATCATCACTTAGATCAAATATACCTATTTAACAAGTCTCAGATAGGACGAACTGCTCATTCTCTTTGACATTATTAGACACTGCCAAAAAATATAAACCTTATGATGACCATTTGGAAGTAAATTAAAAACATTCATTTCTGGTATAAATTAAAGAAGTTGGATACTCTTACACGAAATTCATCTAAAATGTTTTATTATGTGAACAATTAATATCAATCTTATTCTTACTTTTTGAATTTCAGAATCAAATGCCCTCGATTAAAGTCTTTAACTCTTAGTGATGGGAAATATTATGAAATGGTTAAAGGGAATTTCGAAAGAGCAGAATGTCCACGAGTAGTACGCACTACAACAACGTACATTACAAGTATCATTAGCTTACTGAGACGTTATAAAGATTTGAGATTTAATTAGTGCCATAAATTTCGCACAGAATCTTATACAATGCAGAGAAATAATAAAGTAAATATTTATTCAATGAAACAACTCATTAAAAGTAATTACTTAGAATTTTCAATTGGTGACGCAGAAAACTACAAATCTTATAGTGCAACCAATATGAAATAACATCTAAATTTGTATATTGTTAGTTTGTCAATATTTTGAAATCTGTTATCGTGGAACAGACCAATCTGTGCAATCTCACATTTTATAATATGACTTTATATGCAGTTTGTTTTTATTTTCATTTAAGTGTAATGTTTTTCTTCGGAAGTAAATATAACTTTGTATTTTGTAGAAATATATTTTAAATAGGTTTAACACTGAATAAAAATATTTAACAATAAATGTTTATCTTTTACATGTTAGGAAGATTTTATCATCTTCAAAAATTAATAGATATTATTTTGTTTATATTTATGAAAATGGAAAAAATATATAATAAACATAAAATATTTTCCATTATTCGGTAAGGTTATTTAAGTGTACTTATTCACTTCTTACTTGGATTACTTAAATAAATTAGAATAAGATCATGCATTTTTAATCCTTCACAACTTGTCATAAATATCAGTTTCATAGACTAGTTGAAACTTTGAAACTAACACTTGTGTTAGTAGAAGAAATATTCAATTGGATTTGGGTTTTAATTACTTTAGAGTTAACGTCAGAAATCGACGACTTTTCTGTAATAGAAGATTTTAAGTGTTTTTTATATATGATTTTTGAATAATTAAGTAAATGAGGCTAAAAATGTAACACAGTAGTCCTTAATATTAGTAGTTTATCAAGAATCAACAAAATTAATTTTTAGGCTACACTAGGATTTTGAACAAAAAATGTAAACTCTAATGAGATAAAAATAAGTTGTTTCTATGAAGATATGTAAGTTGGATTAGACAGTAGTTTTTACTCACATTACATGTATTGTTCTGCGTTTAATAGTAAAACCTATTGGCCGTAAATTACTTGTGTGCTTCTAACTTCAGAATTTACTTTGTACCCTAAACTTATCTAGTATCGAAAAATCAATCAAAGACGTAACAGCCCTCGTAGGTTTGGTACAAAAATAATAATTTACAGAATGAAGAAAACTGTCAACAGTTAGTCATAATAGATTTCTGTGTCTAGTAGCGAAAGAAACTGCTGAGAAAAGTGAATGATGTTATTGAAAGAAAAATAAAATGCGTGGCATGAATACTTCAAATACGATATTTGAAGAACACGAAGAAGTAATTGCATTCCATTTCTTTCTCTTTCGACTTATACAAGCCAGTAAGATATCAACTGGCGATAGTTCAGCATACTAATGATGATAACAACCGTAATGGCTTTCTTCACTGTTATATATTAAATACAATGTGTAACTCTCAACACGGAATACTTTAACAATTGGCCTTTTTAATGCATATTACTTGCCACCGTGATAGCTCGGATTGTACATTTCAGGATCATTAGAAGCATTAGCTTTTAACACGTGTAATCAGTAGTCACTGAAGGGCGGATAAGATCTAAAGTAACAGCACACAAGTTTAGCTGGGCACTTCACACCATGAGAGAACACAAATTGGTAGTCAAGGAATCTTAAGATGTCACATGCGTCACAGGAATGTGTTTCCATTAATAACAGAATGTAATTAGTCCAGGATTATGTTTTGGCTCAACTGTTTTAGCAAATGCTTCAGGAACCGATAAGTATTTTCAAGCCCTATATATCCGTGTTATTTGTAATAGTACTTTAAACATTATAAGTAGTGTTAAGTTTACTCCGTTTAGTTTAATATTGCTCCAGACTTATAATATGCACATAGTTTGATCATATTTTGATCTCCTGATCTCGGTTTGGTTGTTAGTTTTGACTGAATAAAATTACTTACTGTCGTTAGACGAATCCGGTCCAGAGTAAATGACATTTTCAGTTGAGATTCCCTTGGAAGTACTTTTTATCTGCCTGTAACCTCAATGTGGCATATACCTCTCACCCACATGTCAGTCTAAATATCTGCCGTATTAAACTAAAATATCTGAATAAACTCAAAAACAGTACTTCATGTTTTCTCAGTCCTAATGCTCAAGCATCTGATATTTGTATTTTGATATGTTTAACACTCAGATAAGGTTGCTTCTTAGCAACAGTGTAGATTTGGAGATTTACAAGTGAGATAGTCTTAAACCGTTCGATTACTGAATAAGCTTTATCTCAATTTTCTAAAGCTCTTAAATTTGTTGGGTTTTCCCACCTTAATTTCCATCTGCAGGAATCTAGACTGATTTTCAATAAAGTATGCACTGGAGAATTAGAAGTTGCATGAGTTTGTTAGACTGACTGAATATCAAGAAAGCACCATGTGCCTTTGTGAGTCTTCTCATATTTTTTATATAGATGGATGTGAATACATTTGGGACTGAATGAATTATACTCAATTATACCCTGCCTTACATAATTTTACTAGCCAACGTAGCCACTCGACTGCTCTAATTCTAATCGGTTGACAGTTGTTTGTACGTTTGTATCCCCATTGATTTGAATAAGTACGTTTTAGTTCAGGGCAGTAGGGTTTCTGGATACCAGTAGCTATCACGTTACCAGGCCGGAGATCATTTAGTCACAATATGGAGAAGAATAGGGAGAAAAGTTTAATGCTAACATGAAGAAGATTTCAGAACTAAGTAAACAGATGGATAAATAAGTTAATTAATTGACAGTGAAGATTGTACGAGAGGACCAAAGTGTTAGCAAGGGGTAGGAGAAGGAGATTATGAGCGAGTTAGATTAAGCTAGCAATCTGAGGAGATGGCAGTGATAACAACTAGCAGATCTGAAGACATGCACCAAGCATCACTAATCCGCGATGGAGATGATAATCTGTATGTGAGTACGAGTTTATCAAGGTTCTTCTTAAAGCTGTTCACTAAAGGGGTTTTGTCACCTTGGATGGGATAGCATTCAAAGTTGCAACAACTCTTAATGAGAAGTGTGCAAGAGACTGGGTGTATTCTCTTCGATGCACAATTTCTCGAGGATCACCTCGATGGGCATAGTGGTAGTGCTTCTATGAGCTGCTAACTTAGAGATGGTTTGGCGTTTTTGATAAGTTTTGCACCATTCTATCAGGTCACTTCTAAATCTCCTGCAGCTCAGAGAGACTAATACCAACTGCGAGAGTCTATCAACGTAAGTTTAATTTTCAATCCATATCACCCGTTTCGTTGCTCATCTTTGCACTCGATACAGGAGATTTATTTCTCTTTAAAGGGAAAGGGGAGTGACGACGTTGTGAACCTTAAGATGTGGGAGCGTGTTTGCCTTAAGAGACCGTAAGAATGATTCTTTTGTGATAGCGCCAAGTTGTCTGAGCATAAAGTAAAGAGTTGCATTAGCCTTTGTGGCGTCCACAGTATAGTCCGAACTGCTATGGAAGCTTACAGTATTTATTAAACCGAGTTGTCGCTCTGAGGAGACATTGGGGAGCGGACTGTGTAAGTCCTTTGTGTCAAGTGGGGCAGAATGTTTATAACGTGACATTTCGTCTGGTTTAGTTTTTATGCCGTTTTTCACTTCATATTATTCAACAGATATAAGGTCTTTTATAACCTCAGTTGAATCAGCTTTATCGAATAGCTGTTGAAGATAATGGTTCATTATTAACGACGAACCATCTACGCGTCCCATAAAACTTACACAGACGTTAACAGACTAGGTTTTTGTGGAGAAATATATTATATATATGTATATATATATTTAATATTTCATGAGACTTTTGACTAATCACTAGTTTAGTACTACATAAAAGAGTGCAATTTTCACCGTTGACTTCAATTCAATCATCTATCGTTGTAAACATATTTTTTCATGAACATGGTACTGCAGAGCACATCATTTGGTAAGATAAAAAAGCAAATAAGTTTAAAGTTGAGACTAAAATTGAGGTCTGTCGACCAAAATAAAAGTTCTAGACTAGTCGCAAACATCTACCATCCGATGGAAAATGTGCTGTCAATTGACGGACGCATATCTAGTCCCACCTATGTATGGATGATGAGAGCACTGTTAAATAAACTAAGTTACATTCCTTCATGATTATTAAATATACGATAAATATAAGATCTGACCGCTAGATCCTATATTCATACTCTGGTATGAGTGTTCACCTGTGTATGTTTAAAACAGATTTCTTTGTGACCGGCTCGGACAGTCCTCGACCATAGGTGGTGAAACAAGCTTGTTCTACTTAGCTCAGAGTGAAAACATGAACCAATCAATTGTGGTTGTATTTTCAATCAACTCACAGATTGTAAGGTTCCAGATATTTAATGGCGTCCGATGGATGGTGGTTTAGCCGCTTGACTGCACTAACACAAACAAATGTCATCCGATTACGATTAGTGTAGTCGAGTGGCTGGACCAATATTCGTTGGACACTATCAGATACCTGTAACAGTATTGAAAGAGCAAGGATCGAGAGCAAAAAATTAATTGGCGTATACTAGCTGGTGATAATGATATTGGATATTGGCCTAGACTGAAAATTGTCGCTAAATTTAAAATGCGGATGTGTTTCTGTCTGAATTAGTATCATCTGGTATGATGCTGAAGCCTGTGATGTTGATCGTAGTTCTCGTATTAAACATAATTTTTCATGCGGCTCATGGTGTTGTCTACAGCCAAATAGAAGGTTTAACCGTCCTTAATCCTGACAACTTTGACAACAAAACATCACAAGGAAACTGGCTTGTGATTTTCTATCGCAAGTCTTGTGGACACTGTATAAGTTACTCTCAACCATTTTCAGAGTTTTGCTCGTCTATAAAGAGTAACTTAATATTCATGATGGTTATATTGATTAATTGAAGATTGGAATTGGGCGATTAATCTAGGGTCTGTGGATTGTGAAGAAGAAATCAATAGCCCATTATGTAATCGTTTCAATGTGCATGAAGTTCCCACCTTAAAGGTATGGTATTTTGCGTAATTGCTTCGTAGTTCCTGTCCATGAAAAACGGTAGACAAATGTCGGAACTAATACCATCCGAAAGAAACGTCATGAAACTGCGAAAAATCATCGCTTCTCATCTAGTGAACATTCCTAACCTCCGGCTCTCGAAGTAAGTGAAGTGCGCTAAATTTCACTTGTTGCAGAGAACTGGCAGTTAACGATCCAATAGTCGTTACAGGTAGTGATTCCGAAGTAAACGCTCTGGTGAGTTACTAGTCTATTTGAGAATGCTTCGTTTACTGTCTAACTCAGACTCGTAATTCATTGGTTGCGTATGACATAGAAGAGCGAAACACTGCAAATAATCATTATGATGTCTGTCAAACAAAGTTTTCTCATAGTCTTTCCATACCTCAGTAAAGATAGTAGGTCAGTTGACCTATGTTAATCTCAGCCGAGATCCATTTTCTCCTTGAATGTGCTCACTGATGAATCTTACGCTGCCTGTTCAAATGGACTCTATAGATTTTTATTTGATTTCGATTCTCGTACCTTCGTGAGATAGCCTCAGAGGTCATTAGACCCGGAATAATTAGAAAATAAAGATATATTAACATACAGTCAGTATCTAGCATTAATATTAAGTGCAACATAGTGAAATACCACGGAAAAGGATCTCACATTGTAATGCCTTAACACTAAGCAACGATGAACGAAATGCAGAGAATCTTAATCGCCTACTGAATTAGTTATTCAACGAAATTTTCTGATTGAAATTTATTTAGTTCTCACAACGCTTGGTCTCTAATTTAGGAGCTATATTTTGTTTAATTATTGCATATCTTTGCTGTTTTTTCACTCACTAGTATGATGGTGGATAGGAGTTGTAGTTGCGACAGTGTTCACTTTCCCGACTTAGTTGTTTTTACGGCATACTATTATATGATGTTTATTATCGTATTGAATACTCTAAAGTTGATAGGAAGTCATGTTTATAAATAAATCAGCACCTGATATAGATATACAACGGTTCGATTACTAAATTTTTTCTAATTACTGTAATACAAAATAAACAAGGTGAAGAGCAAAGGGGCAGAATCAATAAATTCAATAATTAGTAAAGTTGCAGAATACAAAACGCGAAGTAAAGATAAAGAATAAATTCATTTTCTGTTCACGGGCCTCTTTGTTGACTACCAGTTAGTTAAAGACATAGAATTACTGTTTTCAAACTTTTTCTGGTTAGGTGGCCGTAACAGACATCACGCACGCTAAATAATTACTGGTTTTAGTTTCCAGTAGGACAGGAGTCATTACAACTGTGATAATGTTCAGAAGAACAGTGGTAGTGAATATTATGAAGCGACTTCATGGAATCATTTGCACGAACACAGACCTATGAAGAGTATGCATGATTCTTAACCTTAAGTCGATGAATTAGACTGTGTCTGTTTTATCTGGACAAAGGTCTTATTCTCAGTTTTTAGCTTGCGATGCTGCACACCGAAATCAAACAAGATAATAATATTTTAGACTTTTTATATCTCATTCTTGGTAGACAGGTTTCGGTTTCTATGTTGTACGTCCCCATATAGTTCTTTGGTGTGATCAATTTCTTTTTTTTTCATTTTTTTAGCTAATGCTGGATTACAGTCTCCCTTTAAAACGTGAGATCCATAGTGTTACAAAACCAGGCTTAAAGGAAATCGATGTCACGAATCCTCTTTCTGGGGAAGTGATTGCTAAGTGAGCAAACTTTTCGTACATATTCACAGTTGGTTTGGTATAAAAATCTTAAACTCTTAGTGTTCGCCACAAATACCTGAGTTGTACATAGCGAACGCTGTGCCAGAACCTTTAATATAATAATCAAAGTTTGAAAATGGTGACAATTTTTTACTGAAGTAATAGCAAATTGTAGCTGTGTACCGCGAATTAACCAAGTTAAATCGCTCGACAGCCAGAAGTCAAAAGACCTGTTTTGGCTGGGACTAGAGGTATATTTGTTGGTGGTCTCGTGATATCGAAAGAATATCAAGATCTAAACAAACATTACAGGCGAGAATACCGAGGCAACGTGAGTAATGTCAGGGTCACGTGATCAGGAAGGTCATGCTTTTTGGTACAGATAAACAACGGAGCACAGTAAAACAATCACTGGTACAAGTGGTTATAATAATGAATGTTGACATTAAACCAATCACATGTTCTTCCTAAAATAAGAGTCACTGCAAAGTACAAATATGTCGATAATGCAAAACTCACTGCGATTCTGTGTAAACCTAGCATTAATCGACGAGTGGTAAATTACTGGTGGACAGAACATTTAATTTATTGACCCATAAAAACGCAGAATTTATTGCTGGGTGTCTTTTCAGTGCTGCTCAATTTTTTTTTGCTTGCAGGTGCCAAAACAGCGATATCATAACACAAATTCTGACGAAATTCCAAATAATATATACCTGTGATTAAAAGACTCTGGAGTACAAGTCAATAGAGAATACTGGGTACTTACAAGCCTCTAAGACTACTTATAGTCCTACAAAATAAGACTTTGAAAATATGAAAATCTTAAGGAATCAGTTGTCAAATATTCATTTTTAGCTTTTGCTTTCCCGTATTTCAACTGTAGTTGGATCTCGTTTGCAAATGTGACAGTGATCTAACGTATCTTCCTAATTTAAATATTTAGGACTACAAATACTTTAGTTCATACGAATTTAGCGATTAGGCAAATATGTATCCACAAAACCAGTCTTTCTAATGTTAATGTACTTTAAGTCTAAATTTTTGACTGGTAAGAATCTGTAATTTCTTCGGTACCAGCTAGTAGTCAGGTTTACTTTCTTATATTTCGTGATTCAGTTAATTATTTGAAATCAAACATAAAGTTTCATATCTTTAGACAGTTGGCCAATATAATATGCAAAGTCATCCAATTATAGTTTAGTTTATTTTGCGTCTACTATCTTGTCGATAGTCTAATGTCCCGAAATCGACCAGCTACTCAAATAACCAGTCATGTCAACCCTGAGCTGGAAACTGCGTTTCTCCTGATCCATTATTCCCACTTGTTCTCTACCACATGTCTTGAGTTCGAAAGCAACAACAAGCCCCCACTACATTTATATTTTAAGCAGATCTGATCTATTTACAGATATACTGGATTGCAGTACAGCAAAACAAACATACACAAACAGGCAGAAAGTGGCTGTGAAAAGGGGAGATTGTAAGTACTAGACTGGAAATAAAGTAGGAATAGTGAGTCGTATAACAGTAGTTAATAGATGATCTGAAAGCTTATGATAAATGTAATATATAGTAATCATACGAAGAACTGCAATTAATTTCAATTTGGAAAATCATTTACAACTTTTTTGATTTTCCATCAGTCGTAAAACTAATTTATTATTTCCATCTTTTTTTACTATATTTCACAAAGTTGAGGCAGTGTGCTATTAGGAAGCTAGTTAAATATATTTCTTATCCTGAAAGCTTTTACCGGTTTCTTGTCTTATATTGATCGTTACTGATCTTACTAGGGGTTCTGAGGAACAAGTTAGGATGGTACTCCAACGGATGTCAGGAGGCAGACCAAAGATGGAACAAAACAGCCAAACAGAAATGTAAGTTCTTAACTATTTCTAACCATGAAAACCTTAAATTTCCAATCATATGTCCATGAAAAATCGATTTCGTCTGATAAAGTATGTTGGTAGAATAAAATGGAATACGTTCCTTATTTCATATCTCAAAGTAACTTTGATACAGCTGATCTGAAACTCTATTACATCGGATAACAACTTTCAGTGTTATTCAGCAAGTCAGTCATACACATTATAGAGCACGTATGTGACATGTTTCAAGTTGTCTAGGCTTTTCTCAGAGCAGTAGGGGTAAGAACAATAGTAATGATAATAGCGAAAATTAAACGTAGAAGGTATAATTAGGAAGAGAAATGTTGATTAGTACGGGGAATCTTCATAAGATAATTTAAAGACAGGATATAAAATAGGAAAAATTTCGGTTTATATGAGAACGTTAATAAAGTCGAAACTCTAAACAGAGAAGTTTTTCGGTGTGAATTTCTGTGAGAAAAAATTCATCAAAAGCTATTTATGCCTGTCAAAAGTTCTGATTAGCTGGCTTGTGGATTGTTCGATCGCTGGTTTTCAGTATGTCTGAAATAATTAAGCTTTTTGAAGTAACATTAGTTCTAACAAATTATTTAAACAAAGTCAGAATGTAAAGAGTCAGATTTGGATTTAATATCTAATTCAAGTATTTGAAAGTAATCGATCAGAGTAAATCATAAAAAGGTCAACATGAACTGGTAACATGTAACACAGAACAAGGAACTATATATATATATATATATATATATATATATATATATATATATATATATATATATATATATATATATATATATATATATATATATATATAAATGAAAACTTTTTGTATGTAGCTAATCACAAGTCAAGTAAACAGTGTAAGTAATAGAATAATCATCAATAGGTGTTTCAAGGGTAATAGGTCTGAAATATAACCAATTTTTCAGGTATTTTATTGTTCTTTAATAGGATTTTTAGTTAGTTATCGTGAAACTAACTTAATGTTTTCTGAAGTAACTTGAAAGTTGTTTCATGTCAAAAAAGTGATTTGTCATTCTCTTTTATGGCCTTTATACCTGTAACTTAGTCGTATACATTATGGAAATATTTTTTTATACAACCACTGTACATAATATTATTACAGTAATAATGAAAATATTTTGTTACAGGGATGTTATAACACCAACCCAAATTAAATACCCACCGGTTTACGCAGTTGATGTCTTTCGATCACTAAGCATGTTACTTCAGTCTGATGTTGGTGCACGAGATAAAATTGAAGGACCGGCTCTAGAAGCTCTAAAAGAATTTCTAGACATGTTATATGAAGTAGGTTTTGAGTCTAAAACAGTTTTGTTTATAATAATTATGAACTAATTTTATCAAAACAATTTTGAATTTTATTAAGAGTTTTTCTTTTGGAATTTTCGCATTTGAAAATGCACAAAAATGCATTCGTTTTAACATTTCAGAATTTTTTAATACTTATTTACTTCATTCCATTTATCCTCATTAGTAATAGTATGAAGTACATGGCTTAGTACTAGATAACTGAAGCTATTTTTTCTAGATCTTAAGAAGCTGGAAAGAAATCCAGAAATAAATAAGTTTATCTTATTATGCCTGGTCCATTGTTCTTGCATCAACCAAATTTATTGAAAGTAGTTTGTGGAATGACTACCATAGAGATAAAATAATGTGTGGTTATTTTTTTTTTGATGTATGTATGAATCTTCGATAAGAGATAACAGTACAACAATATAGTATTTTACGATGATTTCTGGTCGTTTTTCGCTTCAAAGAACAGAAAATTAAAAATAGGTAGTAAGGCACCTTCATTGAATCAAATATTTTGTGTTTCAAACAATTCAGTGTATCAGTCATTGATTTTAACGTTAATGAAATAAGATTATAGACTTAAAGATACAATAATCACAACAAAAACAGCATAATTTCTTCTGAAAATTTCTTTCTAAGCTCTAACTTCCAACTTATTTATTTCTTTTATCCGTCACGGTGATATGTACCACAGGTGATATGTGTATATAGCTTTGGACGGTTAGAATTATATACCATACAAAAATGGTGCATTTATATGCAGCCTTTAATCACGAAGTTAATGAGAAGAAACTGCTTAAAAATGTCAGATGTTGCGTTTTAATTAAACATTTGGTGATCTGTTTTAATTTAATTTCAATAACTTAAGATTCGGACAAAACCAAAGAACCAAAATTTCCTTAAAGATTTTAGTGATTAACAGTGCACAAGGTTTACATAGTTCTGTATGAGTATTGATGATCTGAAATAAACCTTCTCTTGTATAACTTAATTTTTATTGAAATACTTTGTCAATTAATCTCTTGAGAATAATCATTAACACTGTGCATGCACTTATAAATCATCACATTCCTATTAGATAATAGAAATTTAAAAAAGTCATACTACTTTTTAGTTCTTACACTTTTTTCACTATGTTAATGCAAGAGAATTTCTTTTAACCATTAACTTAAGTGATGTGTACAATTCCAATCTATTACTCTGCTTTATTTAAGATTTTGAAATTAGTGTAAGACTAATATTTTTTATCTTCATTATTTTTCAAGATGAACAGAATTTCTCCTATAGTCGTTCATAACTAATTTTTTCCTTATTTCTGTTCAGGATGAAGTTATATCACAGTATATTTAATTATTGCCAGCCCAGTTTATTCTTTAATTATGTTACTCTGATTTGTGACAACCTTTTCCAAAATGAAACTGAATAAGTAGTAGTTCATACAGAGCTTTTAAATAATTTACTTGAAATTCATTAAAGCAATAGGTATTTTATAATCTATTTTGACAGTTAGTTAGTATTACTAATACTGTTTGTTCAATGTCATGGTACATGGCTGAACAGCTAAGTGATAGTGATATTTTTACAACTGTACAAAATGTGAATATAACAAGCATAAGTTTCTATGGATTAAATAATATGTAGTAATTCCAATAGTTTTACTTTTTGAACAATTCCATTGAAACATTTCTTGAAGGAAATATCATATGTTACACGTTACTACTACTACTACTACTATTACTACTACTACTGCTTCTAATTGGACTACTGATCATACATTTGACCATGAATGAATTATTAACAACATCCAAGGTTGAATGAAACAGTATTTTAATCAGCAATTTTGAAGTGATCAGCTTCATTGATTCAATAATATTCTGTTAGAAGATAAATTTATTTCTTCATAGATCAACTGGCACAGGTGTTTAGGAAGTAATGAATTTTCGTTTTCATCACAAAAATCTTTCATCTAACAACAAATTCTTCTGTTATCAGTGTAGTTGATTTAATCACAGTGTGAAACTATTTACCATTTCTTTTTGTTCAGCCATATAATTGACTTTCTCAAAATAGTTGATTATACATATAGGCCATTTGTAATTTAACCATTGTTTGAAAAGTTCAAACAGAATATGATTTGGAATCATAAAATACTTCCGACGATTTATGAAATGAATTTTTATTGAGACAAATATTTAAATATGAAAAGCTGGTCAATCATATTTATAGTTATAAAAGTTTTGAAATACCAATTGTCATAAAATCTTCATTCATAATCTTTCATACAGTTTTTGCATACTGTATTCAAAGGTCTTATTTATAGCTAGATTTACTTTAAATAGTTATTTTCTTGTATCTATGGTAATCGATTAATTTATGAAAATTAACGATACAGGTTTTAAGTTTAATGAATGGTTTTTTTACAAATACATACAGTTTTTATTGTATATAATAATGACTGATCAAAATCGACTAATTAATTATAATTATTTTCATAAGATGATATTTTTATGTAAACTTTTTACAATACTAACAATAAATTGTTTAACTTGTCATCAATATGGTGGTATTATCACAATTATGTTAGGACTACTGACCACTTGTGTAACAATTACCGATTCTTATTTGTTGAACAGATGTTGTTTAAATCCAGAAGATGTATATTCAGCCTGTGTGTATACTTCGGTCCACGACTGGATATTATAGACCTCCTATCTATCCTCCTAATTCCTTTTGTGTTTATATCTTTCATGGTCTACACATTAATCTTTTCTGATTCACATGAATTTCTTATCATAAATAACTTGGAAACACCTGTCTTATTTTAGGTTATATTCACAACGCTATTATTATCATTATAATAATATCATTATTATTATCTTTATTAACGAGGCGAAATTCTCCTACCATGCATTTTATTCACGCAATTTATTGTATTACTATCATTTAATGATAACCCTACAAAGTACAACGAATCTTTCTCAACTCTATTAAAAGACCTTTCAAGTTTACAAGCAACATGATCTTGAAGTATTGATGCCCTAATGCATGCAAAAGTTCACCATTTTAAAGATAAAACACTGTCTACTTCGTTAACGCATACCTTATTCTGCTTATCTAAAACAGCAAAATTATTATGGACTTATAATCACAGAGCCGAATGATGAAGCTATTGAAACGATTGTTTGCTCAAATCTAACACCTTGTAAGCGTTCAAAGTCATCTTCTATAAGATAAGGAGAAAATCGCCAAAGGCAGTTGGTTACCGCCTTATTAGCATTATCGAAGCACTTGCAATACATCTGGAAAAACCAGGCTTATGTGCACAGAACAAACTTGTAAAACTGCTTCTTGTACCATGGTATTAATCTTTCTTTAAGAAATATTCCCGTTTTCCTTATGTCGTGACCATTGAACTCCCTTCCTTCTTCTATATAGGCTTTTTAACCCAAACTGATTTGATTCTGTGAGCCGTAAAAACATTCTTATTACTCCCCATGATAAAAAAACCTTCATCTAATTTGTTTCACAGTTACGACGTTTAAAAAAATTTTTATTATCTATATTTTAATTATTATCTCTATGTGTAAAAGGTACATATTTACGACTGTAGAGTTTTGAAAATAAGTTCTCCGAAAAGAGAACTCTTCGCTAAACAAAGCTTTTTCATTTTACGTCTAAGTGGGTTTATTCCGTATACAAATATTGTTTATTTTTAAATTCATATAGATAAGTGTGAATTACTCCCATGTAAGATATTTAGTTAAATCATATTAGTCTATCAAATGCGTCAAATTATCAAATTTCAAGTCAAATAAAAGTTTTATTTCCTCATTCAGGCTTCGATATATATATATATATATCATTTAATAGGGAATAATTTTGTGGCAATTAAATCTAAGTTATGCTGTTTTCGAAATCCAAATAGGGGTAAAAAAAATTATTTACTACAACAGGCAAGATTGATAGGTTTTATCTGAATGACCATCCTTTGTTTCATTGAATAATATTCATGGATTATATAAAGTCTTGCACACGATTTAACTCCGGGAAATGGAAGTAAACTATGCTGCATTTTCATCACAGAAAGTTTTACTCGTACGTAATAAACTACATAAAATTGTGCGTTTCATCTTATTAATTTCTAGCAAGTGCTAAGCAATGTTTCAGTCCAGAAGTAAATAAATATTTTTGCTTCAGGCAACAATGAATCAAAATGTATTGCATTCATTCGTTTTTTTTTTAAATTTGGAAGAATTTTCACAATGTCAATATTTATCATAACACAAGGCTTAATATATCCTTTTATTTATCTATTTAAATTATTCCAATCTCTGTGAATTCAAGATTCTTCCAGCTTCTCAGGAATACAAAGCACAGCTCTCTGAAATTTCTGTTTGGTTAAATTCAAAAACGAGTATAACGGGCCAAGAATGGGTTGCATATCTTGAAGAAATCAAAGTACGTTCTGTTTACATGCCTTCATTTTCAGCTTAGATATTATATCTGTTGTTAGATAGAATGCTATAGTAACTTGTATACAGAAAAACTCTACTTCAAAGGTAAACTAGATACATATTTATAAAGGGAAAAATTTTGTTTGCTTTGTATCATATACATTTATTGAATAACATAATGATATGATTTATTACTAATTTTCTAATGAATCTCGTCCATAAATTATCTCTTGTATTAGAAATAAAATACACTGACGGTTGTATTAGTCACATGTACCTGATAGATCAATAATATGTTATTTCACGTTGATGTCAGCATAAATATAGTAATTTCATTAGTTATGAAGTAAATATTAGAGAAGTCTGCTCACATCTGAGAATTTAGTTATAGTATAGTTTAAGTCTTAAATTACAACATTTTTATGTTAATATTTATGGAAGAAAAACAGTCTGTGCATTTATCAACAAAAACATTCTTCCATCTTCTCATTAGAAGTTATTTCACTAGAATAAGCGAATGTTATATATTAGCAGAGAAAAATAGCTCAGACTTCATTAAAGTTTGGAATTTTTGTATTGTGATATATAATCAGTTTTGTAAAAATTATGTAGGCCAAATAACAAAATCAATTCTCTGACATAACTATACTGTCCAAAATTGATTTTATACTAAATGACTTGATTGTTTATCTCTACAAATGAATGCAATTCAGATCATTTTTATTTGACTTAGGCCAAATAAAATGTTAGCTTAGTTATTTAAATTTGATTAACATCACATAAACGTACCAAACGTCTTATGCTTGAACTGTATGGTTACTTTTATATTATTTTGATATTCTGCACTGGAATCTAGGATTTCTGATTTATCCTAACTAGTATTGATTTTCTAGGCAAATGTCAAAGCAGATGATATGGCTATGCAACACAAATATTCAATAGTAAAACGAGTTACATCTTCTAGACAGTAGCAGACGAAATCCACAAGATTTCTTTGCAGTTACAAAATTTCGATTTCTCTTATTTATAACATGAATTTCATCTGAGTTATTCTTTTTATTTACGAAATTTATTTACTGTCTTTTCTTTTTAAAATCTCTGTCAGTTACCTTTATATAAAGGACCATTTATGGCGTGTAATGGAAGCAAACCACATTATCGAGGATATCCATGCGGTTTATGGACTTTGTTTCATTCATTAACCGTAGAACAATACCTGTTATCATCTTCTAGCTCAGGTTGTTTTCTCAGCTGTTTTTTTAAAGCAAAAATTTATTTACTGTCGTAAAAGTTTATGTTATTAGTTTAATATCTTTTTCATTATTACCTTTGTCAGTAGTTTTCTTTGAAATCACTGGACAAATGTTACGAATTTTTTGGTTATTTATGTCTATAGATCTAACATCTTTTTACATAAGTTAAGTTTACCCAACCAGATAGCAAAGTGAAGTAATATTGTACACGTAATGATCCTCTCTTTCAAAAAATTATACGAATATAACTCACTTGCTAGAAGGATATTTATTTATTTGGCTAGGAGTTGTACACATATAATATGAGAACTGGTTGTACAAAACTTACGTCGTTCAAACTAAAGTAGATAAAATATATTTTAAACTCTCATTATCTGTGCTTAAAAATCATTTGCTTTATTGAATTTCTGATTAAGTCTTTTTAAACATGTGAGTCGATTTTAATATCCATGTCTACTGCATTAAGGTGAATATTCAGAACAGAGCACCATTATTGATTATCATATAAAAAAGGACGTGGCTAAAACTTACAAATTATTGAGAGGTTTAGTTTGTTTTAATTTCTTATTCAGTTAGTATCCTGATAGAGGTAGCAGAAATTAACCATAATATGTATATACCATACTGTTTCTGACTAATTCGAATTATTTTACTCAATTATAACTTTTATTAAGAGTAGTGTAGTCTAGTACTTGAAAAGGTAATAATACTCTTTGTGATGAATTCTAAGCAATTCTTAGTAAACTTAAATGAAATAGGTGTTTTTGATAGGTTTCACTAGGTATAAATATTTCTTACAAAGTATGTTATTCTCTCGTGAATAATTTATTTTTCTCAAAATGCAATAGTCGAAATGTTCATTATCTTTCTGTTTCAGACCGTCAGGTTGATTCAGTCGCGCATGCTTTAGGTCGTTTCATACCTCGATTTTTTTCATGTACATACTGCGCATTTCACTTCGCACTAAATACAGCGAATTTAGCCAGACCAGGGGAATCTATCCTCCCAGAAAATCGTAACACTCCTAGTCCAGAGGAATTCGTATTTGACGAATCAGTTATTCCCACTTTACCTAAAGCTCCAGAAACTCCCAGAGATACTGTATTATGGCTGAATGCGATACATAATCGTGTAAATAAACGTTTAGCTGGTACACCGTCGGAAGATCCAACTGCACCCAAAATCCAATTCCCACCACCGTATTTATGTCCTACCTGTTGGTCACAAAATTCGGAAGGTGAACTGGAACTGGGTAAGACTCCAGAGACTGAAGAATCATTATTTCAATTTCTTGTTGAACGATATCGTGCATCATCTTGGAAGTATTTGGAATTACCTACAGTATTCATAACTAATGCTGTGTAAGTTTCATTGTTACTTTACTTTTGTGATAGTTTAGCTATCTATATCGTAATATTGAATCTATACTTATAAATAAGTTGTCCAATGATCATTATTATTATGTGACTTAGTTTTTAACATCATACTCATAAATATTACTTTTCACACTAATTTTACGAACACTAAATAACACTACTTTTTCAATGGTTGACTATAGATTATTATTATTATTGTTATTTTGTAGTAACCAACTGCGGATTAATTTAAACTTTAAATTGAGTTTTATTTTACTAATAAACAGTTGAATTTCAAATAACATTTTGTGATATTCATTACAATATTGTGAAGTGTTAGCTTGCATGTTTTAGTTATCTAGATGAATGATTGATATTTTGTTATTTTTATAAATAAGCAACTGTGATTCAGCGACAAGCCTGGCGTTTTCTAAAATGCATTATAACAACATTAGCGTTTTGTTGATAACTATTCCTTTACACTTGAGATTGAGTCTATAAACTTTCTGAACTACTAATTAATTACCTTTTGTTCAAGGAGTAAATTTTTGAACAGAGATATGAGAAGTCATATTTTGTGAGATATTACCATTTTATGCTTTCTCGTCAGTCACATACAAGTAAATTTTTATCAGAAACGTATGTTGGTGCTTTCGTGATCGATACTAAACAGCCACTGGTCCGTCTTATCAAGAATACTCAGATTATTTATCATTAAATTTTAGAGTATATTGACTTATTAGTTTTGAGCATTTCTACTTCGTTTATTTATCATTCAATATGCGATTTGTATTAAAAAATAATGGAGTTATTCTTAGATCAATGTGAGTAATCAGCAGTCATCGAAAATTCCGTCATGTAATATATCTGACTTTTCAATCTTCTAGTTGAAAGTTTTGTCGTAAATAACCAGATCGAATAAGATACTAGAAGATTATTCCGAAATCTTCGAACAGAATGCAGTATTGGATACCATTTCAACACGTTCAATTATTTATTTAGGACTTTTCATCTCTCATTAGTTTTTTTCAATTCCGCATGTTCATTGTTACTCACTTCTTTATAACTAGATAAACATTAATGACACAAAATATTTTTGGTTCTTTTTTTTAAAAGTTTCATAATATTATTATTTACATAAAATTAATTTCATCTGAAGTCGAATTTGTGTTTACTTCAGCGGTGTTAATTTGTTTAGGTATTATATCTTGGTAAACTTACTAATTAGTAAATATTTATTTTTAAATTAGAATGAGAGCATTTAACGTCGTTATCTAAATAATAGTATACTACGAAATCTCATCTATCAAACTAAAGTAATGACATTGCTTTAAGCCAGTATCCTATCATTCGTGATGGGCTATGGCTAACTAGTTGAAACGCTTGATTTCTTACCATCAAGTCCCAGGTTCCAGTTGGGCTCTACTTTATTTTATTTAAGGGTTGGTTGGTATCATTAGTCTCTCGATAGCAGATGTGGTTAAGTCAGTTGCATAAATACTTACTTTCATAAATATGTTGACTAAATAAAAAAAAAACTAACTCTTTATTCGTTCAAATGATAAATACATCTTAGTAATTATTCTACAGCTTGTTTCAGTGCTAATACTAAGTTTGGCATCATAATAAGTTTTATAATTGAAAATTTTGAGCAATAGATAAATTGCTTATCTAGTTATTAGGGACGTTAGCTCCCCAGAACTCACTTGGTAAAGGTCCCAATATTTTAGTTTATTTCTGAGATTTTGAATTTTTATGTTTTCGCGCCAGAGACGCTTAGTTGACCTCCAGCTTACATTTCGCACTCGGAAAATTCTTGATTGTCATTGATTGATGGATTATTTTAGTACTCAATTTTGTAGCTCTTACCAAGGACGTTTTATCGTTGTATAAATAAGCTTAAGTTGTGTGCTTATAAACATCGTATTTTCTGGTTGCCTGTCAATACATTCTCTCTACGTCCTATCAAGACTTCGTCCTTCAGTCAGCGGTGTCTGGGACAATAGAATTAGAATAGCCTATCATGTCACTGCATCGTCGATCTTCTTTCCGTTTACCGAGTATGATGAACTCGTAGTAGTTTCAAGCATAACACTAATATACAGTTGAATATTAAGTCTGAAATAGTTGATGTACATCAATTAATGCGTGTATGGCTGAGTGCAATAAAGAACACCTTACAAATCGGATTATGCAATTGGATGTGCAAATAAAAGCTAGATTTCTCTGTTACAAAATGAAGTATCCAAAGTATATAGGCACAATTCAGTTGATGAATTTTAAACAGAAATTATAAACTCTTGAATTGCATGTCTAGCTGACTGCAATGGTACATTATCAAAAGTTTCTTGAGTTTGTAATTCATTTTAGTTGTATTCTATTCCAGCCTAGATAATTTTTCCTTCTATTTTATTTCAGTAGTACACCTTCTGTTACGGTAAAATAATAGTTTTGTGCTGAGGCAGAATTTGTTTACGTCACATGCACATTTTCTTTCTTCAACATGTGATGAACACTTGTTATCTTTTTTTGTTGTTGATAAGATAATAAATGAAATCATATTTGTAACTTCTATACTTTTTGTGACCTTATGGTTTTATTACTGCACTTTAGAAGAATTTTATTCTCCAGTTATTAATTACAGTTTCTTTCACTAGTTTGTCTTAACAGTCAGTTTACTATTAGTTTTTACTAACCGTTTGATGTAGAGAGATTTATGTTGATTCCGGTTGTGTTGTGTTTTCCCAGCTGTCGAATAATTTATAAATACAAGGAACACATTTTTTTCAATTTATTTTTGCACATTATTTCGCAAAGTAGTCTTTACAGTGATTTTGGATATTAATATAATGAGTGTATTTTGCGGAACTATTTTTAACAATAATACCAATTAAAGGAAATCATATTTGCACAATTATTGTCAAATGCCATTTACAAAAATCAAATTATTTTTTATTATAAGTGGAAGTGCTTTGAAGTTTTTGTCAGAAACTTGGGTAATTATAATTTATTAAGTTTATGTGATTATCATTTTTTGTCATGAGTTCGTAGACACTTACTTCTTGAAAATTTGCATTGTTGATGAAGACTTCCTTTTCCCTATGAGAAATATAACCAGGTTTTATGACGTGAAAGCGAAAGTATTCAAATACACTATTATCATCTGTTTGCAGTACACTGGTTGCCGTTATACTAGAAATAACTTACAATGATTAATTCCTTGTTAGGTTTAAAGCTATTTTTTGCAAGCATTTTAATATCATGTAATTTATGGGAATGATAAACTAACAAGACAACAGTATTGAGTTATTTTCCTAACATAATATACCCTAATTTTGGTCATATTTATTTTTCTAGTTTTATTTACAGGTTTCTAGTTATGTTACTGCACATTAGATATAGCATATTCAAGCTTTATATATATATATATATATATATATATATATATATATATATATTTAGGATAGAAATAAACTGCTTATGTAAAACTCTGTTTAACAATGATGCAAACCACAGTTGTTTATATAAAATTTTTGTAAAGTATTACTCAAAAGTTTCCATTAAGAACCTCAGATTATTTTCATCTTTACAATTTATTAACTACGATTATTAAATGTCAACTTTTGTTGTGTTTTTTTTAGATCAGTAAATCTATCTACAGAGATTGTATTTAAATATAATTTATAAAGTTAAACAAATTGACATATGACTTATGGCATTCAATAGTACACAACTGATAATCAATCATTCCCATTACTGTAAATCAATTAAGACTGGTGATGTTGTTTACTTCCATTATTTAGTATATGTAAATGAGACAAGTTTAAATAGATGTTAGATGAATTACTTGATTTGAAAATAACTGTCGAGAACAGATGTTACATAATGTGATATAATTCATGTATATTTTTAATTTGATTTTATAGAAAATTTCAAATTTTATAATTTGGTACATGTGAAACTGGACTGGACTAATGTGATTTGAATAGTAGTATTGTTTTCTTGATTGTGTTGTTAATTTGTTGGAATATAATGATGATGATCATAACAATCGAATTGTTTTTGTATAATCGTTCTAGTTTTCTGCGTTTAATTATTCAGTAATATTTTCCGTGTTAAATTATCACGGTTTCTATACTGGGTGATATCAACTGGAGGAATATGTATATATTTGTTCTCAATACAATCCATGTTAATAAACAAATTAGGAATGCTCGCTAAAACACCTTTGTGCCTATATATTTAACTACAAAACAAGTGACCTTCTGAAACATAGTTTCATAACTTTGATTATTCTAAATCCTCATATATTCAGCACTTCTACAAACCCCAAAAGATTTGTGTATCTATAAAAGGAAATGCAAATCTACCAGTTGCTTTTATTTTGTTCTTTCAATGAATAGGATACCCAATATATTGTAGCTTTTCATTTCGAATAGTATTCAGATTTAAGGTTAGGAATAGATTTGATCGGTATTCAGAAATAATTAGAAAGTAACTCTATTTATAATCTGACCAATTAGGTCTCATTCTCCTAACGGGATTATTGATACATCTTCATCTCTAATGCAGAATCAATCATTTTTATGTAGTCAGCTTAAGCTAAATGTTTCACAATACATTGAATGTTTTAAATACTTTTGTTTATAATGAAATTTTAAGAAGGAATAATTGAAAAATATACATACATATTTGTAATACATATACGTACTAGTCTTAATTTATTACATATTGTGGGAATGGAAATGTGACGATAATCTATTTTATTGTTTTTTAGCAAGTGAATTAACTATCTTGTTATTCATAACTCTCTTACTAAAATAATTATAAATCTTTTTTTTTTAATGTATGAACTCACCTTACTTGCACAATAACAAAAATGAATTCCACTAACAAATGAGAAATTAGTCACTAAAAAATTTATTTGTTTAAAAAATTAAAGTACATTAATTATTTTCTGTTGTATCATTTAATGTTTTTATAACCATTCTGTAAGCATAAAATGTTGTGTGGTTAGTATTAAGTGTTCTTGTTTACTTACATACATTTGATGTAGACTGGTGTTCAGTTTCATTGTGTTACTATTTATTTAGATATATTATCACAAATTGTATTTGTATTTATTGTTTTTAATATAGACATACGTTTAAATTATTTGAAGAAAATAGTAAAACAAACGATTATATTATGATTGATTAACAGGATTGACCAAATACACTTTCTTTTTTGTACACAGAGATTATATGCTAAATTTTATGGATGTTTAGAACTTTTTCTGTAGTAGAAGTAGAAGTGGTTGTAGTAGTAGTTTTTGATATTTTCTTTGTACAACTTGGGATTCAGTGGAATGATTGAATGAATTGTAGATCTTTGTTTTCTAAATTGACTCTATTTAAATGGCTATTTGAAAAAACAAACAACTGAATACGTATTAGTCCTAGCTTGAAATTAACCCGTAGTAAATATCCATTAAACTACCTTTGATCTCAACTGCTGCAATATCAAACTTACAACTGTATATGATCTATTCGACTGATGTTATAAATGATGATAATATTAAAGTTTTATTAATCATCTATATGTTTCAATGATTTGATTATCCAGTTTACATTATTTTTCAGTAAGTCTAATAGATAACGAATATTTTGGTTTATCACTGTTACAACTACAAAAATGCATGATTTTGATTGTTATAATTAAGACTAGTTCATTTGTTAATAAACGTTTATGTTTGTTTTTAATTGTAGGGAATTGAAAACTGAACAGGCAGTCTCCGATTTGTTAATAATCTCGATTATTTCCATTGTACTTACCATACTGGCAGCTATCATTTTACTTGCAGGTTTACGTTTCCTATGTCGGCGTCGTCGATTTTTCCGTCGAAGACGAGGACAGTATGCAGGTGGACAATCAGTCTAATTATATTTTATTTATATTATCAAACAATTAAAAATGAAAAAGATCATTTTTGAAGATTTATTTCTTGTGAATAATTGATCAATGAATGTGTTGATTCTAATGTTGTTTCTCAATGTAATTTCTACTACTTTCCCATTTCAAATAAGCCTTTTTTTGTAAAGACAATAAATTGACTTTGTTGAACTACTGTCTTTTTTTCCACTGCTCATTGATCAATATTTTTTATCATTCAAATCTTATTCTTTACAGCTTTGTGTTTTTCTTTAGTTGTACTTTTAGGCACACTTCTCACTCTCTATTCTGTTTTTCATTTTTCCATATATGGAACAAACTGTATGGATTGCATAAGAAAAAAGTAAATAGCACTAGTCATTATCACTACTACTGCTGTTGTTTTCAATGAATAAATTCTCATAAATACATTTTCAAGGGATTAAAGTTGAATGCTTATATATATATATATATATATATATATATATATATATATATATATATCTGTATCTTTTCATCAGCTGATTTTTTATTATATTTTTTTCAATGTCTACTTTACGTCTTCCATCATTCATTTTGTTAAGTCTGTTTGTGCGCATGTATTAATGGATCTTTTTTTTATAACCAGTTTATCTATTATTTATTCAGTTCTATCTTTATCACTTTATTCAGTTAAGTTTATTCAATAAAACGATATTTTGTAAATTAATACAGTTAATTTGTTTCATACGCCTGATAATTCATTATTTATAAATGCATATAAATAAATAATAATTCATTTAAAATGATAATTAATTCAGTCGAATAGATTTATAGTATATAGCAATTCAATTGTGATTATTGAAATAGTTCATTTTATATTTTTTTTTCTGAATTAATGCTACTAGTTTTGTTAGAATTTGATTTTATTTTAAAAGAATGAAAAACAACGAACGCTCTGTCTACACATTAATCTTACCTACCATTCACAAGTCTCTTATTTCAACACGGACGAATAATTCTAGCTTTTGGTTATTGTTGGTAAAAAAAATATGTTATGATACGACAATTATTGATTAGATAAAAAAAAATTTAGCTAATCGATTAGCTAATGTATTGAAAAAGAAAAATGGCCAAGTGATGATTGCTTACGAAAAATCAGTTACAATTGTGATGATACAAAAATCGAATAATCAGTGAGTAAAATGAAAATCGATATCTTCGATTGCGTGACTGAAAATCTGCATCATTCAGAAACTAGTTTGAATATAATGAATTTGAAGAAATAAAGGTTTTTGCAGGTCAATATACTAGTATTTGTTTGACTTAGCCTGTGAAATTCATTCATAATTCCAGATCGTCATGTCATTCCGGTTTCATCACTCCACCTACTTTAAATGGATCGATAGCAAACATTTGCCAGCTATTTTCATGAATCTTCTGTGCAAATAATCTTCTAAAATAATCCAGTATGCGAGCTTTTTATATAATAAGAGAAGCAATAAAGTAGGTGAAATTAACAGTAGGATCAAAAAGCCATGTTTTGTCATATTTGGGACTTATTAGCTGGATATTTCCCCATCATAGTGCTCATGTTCATACTATGATTCAAACCCAGTACTTTTCCGTTGAAACTCCGACGTTTCATTCACTAAGCCAGTGTGTTCAAATGGTAGATAATTAGTTCAGCTACGTTACGTTCAAATAACAATAAATGCTTCCTATTTTATTGCTTTTGAGTTATCAGTTCTACTAACCAGATAATGATCAAGCATCTACATCGAGAAGAAAATCCAACTTCTGTTCCTAATTAACTAGAATTTAGTGCATATCGCTTCTGAGTGGTAAAGTGATATAAAAACTTTTCTTTTCAAGAGAATAAAAGACAGGTTTTTTCTTAACTAATTTCTACACCTCTAGATGAACCGAATGTAAATTCCTTTCTTACGAATGTACCTCTAATCATAACTGTTAACATTCTTAGTGACGATATATGGAGTAATTTCCCTCCTTTTCCTATTCGGTCAACACTAATAAGAGAACTACTTTTATTATGTATTGAGAAAGTTCATTTCACGTTTGATGATAAACATTTTCAACAAGTTGATGGCGTTGCTATGGGTAATCCTTTGGGACCTCACTTAGCTGAAGTTTATATGGCGTATGTTGAAAATTTGTTACTATGTACAGGAGATATATGGATGATATTTTGGCTATATGCGATAGAGATTTCAATGTCTCTCAGTTACTGAATGATTTCAGTAGTTTTATCCTGACCAACGAGGCAGAAAATAATGACCAGTTGTACTTTTAGACACACGGTTGAGTCGAAGGGACAGTAGAATCATAAAGCGGTCATTTTATAGAAAGTCAAACTGGGCTGGATAGTATTTAAATTTCCGTAGATTTTGTTCATTGCAACACAAACAAGGCTTGGTAAAATGCCTCTTCAATAGGGCGCGAAGAATTTGCACCACGAATACATTTGAAGACGATGCGAAATTCTTAACTGAAACATTGATTTCAAATGGTTATCCACTAACGTTCATCGATATGTGTAGAAATCAGTTGAGCCTGTCTTTTACTCTGTTGAAAAGTAATGTGTTTATATCACTTTACCATTTAGAAGTGTATCAAGACAGAGACTGAAAGCAGCCATAGAGAAAGCATACAATCCTGCTAAACTGATTATAATTAAAAAGACAACCTATGATTCCACAAAGGTCCAGACATTATTCAAATGATTACATTACACCCCATTGCATTTATTAATTTGCACGTTTTTGTGGACACACATACATAGGTAGGAGTAATCAGACATTGTAATCATGGGTTATGAAACATGTACTTAGGGGGCGTCAAAATCAGTTAACGACAGATGACACGATAAATGTGTGAAATAGAAAACTATGTTCATCAACTGCAAAACACGTAACTGAGTCGTGGCATAAGATCAAGACAGCTTTCAAAACATTGTATCGAAATGCTGAAGGACGAATTCGGAGGTTGATGGAAGCCTTGGCTATTCGTAAATCAACCCCCCCCCTTATATATACAGAAAGAGTTTGTTGTGACCTTTAATTTACCCTGGTAATCTTTAAGCTATTTTATGGCCTTGTGTAATGTGACAATTTCCTACCCTTTCTAATTCTCTCTTTATTACGTCAATTTTCTTTCTCCATTTACAATTATCACCTTGTCTGGTTGAACTTATTTAATTGACCTTGACCGGATTGTGAATACATCACATTTTTCAAATAGTCACTTTCAGTTGACTTGATATACTGGATAACTTTATAATAATCTATTTGATTAGTTGATGAAATAATTTTGTTGTTCAGTTGAAGAAAAACTGATCAATTGTCCCTCATTTTCATTTCTATTATTAAAACTAGTAAACAATTTTTGTATTTGTTATAAGGTAAAAATAGTATGCAAATAATTTTGGCAAAGTTGATTTCTGTCAATGACCAAACTTGCTTAATCTACGTGGAAACGGGTGCTGGGTAAGAATGGCAGATCAATAGATGAAGTGTTGAAACTTCATCAGTTGAGGTGGTTGGGACATGTGCTGCGTATGCCTAACCAAAAACTGCCTCGACGAGCTTTGTTTTGTAGTGTAGGAATAGGTTGGAAGAAGTTTAGGGGCGGCCAAACCAAAACATGGCATAAATCCATGAAGTCATTGACGAGTGGACTGAGCCATGTCGGTAGTTGTCGACAACCTGGTTGGGTCCGCGAGATGATAATAATCGATTGTTAGATACCCTGAATGACATGGCTCAAAACCGTTTGCAATGGCGCCGGTGCATTTATTCTTTATGTTCTCTCAAATCCTAATCTTCTGGATTCTTCGACACCTCTACTTTTGACTTTCTAAACTTTTCTCACTGAATCATACTTCTTGAATAATATCTTCTAATCCTAACCTCTCCGATTACTTCTAATACCTTTACTACTTCATCTACTATTGGATTTGAATTGACAATTACATCTCTGTGCTGATGTGGTATGGCGACATGAACTGATGTACTTACGTACAAAGTTCTACGTTGCATCTGACTGAGTGACTTAATCTATGTAAGAGTTTTATTCTTTGCCTAACAAACTTATATATTCCTATTATTAGAAACTGATATTCTAATAACACTGATGAGGAATCATGGACTAAACCATAACAGCTTTCCAATCACAGTTGGTTCACAATGATTCTCCAAGAAAAGATGAATATGGGAGAAAAGAATTAAATTCCACAACTCGCATCTTGAGAATATATTTTAGGTAAAGAAAACAAAGTCTAGTATCCACCTTTCTTATTTCTGCTAATCATATTAAATCTATTTACTTAAAGAGACCGTCAGGCAGGATTAATAAATAATGAAAATATTTTTATGCATAAATTGTGTTTGCTTCTTCTTACACATACAGAACAACGTCATCAATCATATGAACTAAACAAATTGGAAACAATTGATTACTTATTGTTTTATTTACTGATAGACTGCAATCTGTAGGTCATTTATTGTTATAGATGTAACATAGAAATAGAAAGCTTACTATTCAAAATGATTTAAAAGTTAGTTTGTTAACAAATTGTTACTTTAATTGATTTAAACATCAAGTTTCAAGCTTAATTTATATGTTATAGAAAGCAGATGAAGTTTAAAGATGACAATTATTTCACTGTCAATATGATTATTATTTATTTTATATCCTTATTTTTCCATCTCCCATGATTAAACGAATCTTGTTCAATTCTAAGATGCTTTATAAAACATTTACATACAGTGACCAATTATGGTAGATTAATCTTAGAACAATACATATATGCTAACAATATTGTTTTCAGTTAGATTGTCATCAATCTTTTATTCTAATATACATGAGTATTTATATGAAAATGTTACACTAATCAAGGTAATTTATGAGTCAATAATCATAATGAATTAGATTACGTAACTACACATATTAGGTAGGAAAACAGGTGTACTGATAGTAGTAACAATAATGTAATAAGATAAGTTTTACATTGAGATCTTGATTTAATTATCGTTAGACTACTATTAGAAACCTGGAAGCACTGGACGGCCGTTTCTTCATGGTAATAGACTCATCAGCAGTGCGCATCGACGACTCCTGGTTCTCACAGGATTTGAAATCAGGAACTTTGGTTTCACTCACGAACGCTTAACCTCTGAACTACTGAGCCGGCACCTGACGGTGTTAATGTCTGACTCCGATCAATCTAAGGACTTTGTGCAACCTCATTAATTGTCTTCGGTAGTTATTACCTACACGCGACAGGGTTGAAACACACAGGTCACGTCTCTTCACCAAAACATCGAGAATTTCCTAACGAAGCTATTCATCAGTGAGCACGTTTTATGATTTTCTCATTACAGAATTATGGAGATGATCTAACGATTATCAAATCATGAATTCAATGTAAAACAACGATTTCCATAATTCTATAATGAAAAAAAAACAAACGTTTCGTCAATGGTTCAACATTCGAAGTAGTAAGTAAAACGTGGATAAATAAACTTAAAATAATCATTACGAAACCTTACCACAATTACGTGATAAGTAGTGTGTAAATAATTAGGTAACAAAGAATATAAACTGAAAGAGGCGGAGAATAGCAAATAAATACAGAATGTGAAAATAATTCTTATAATAACGAAAAATCAAAATTGACCTGTTTTTAGTATGCATAAAGGAAACACGTTTTTACATCTCGCTATTGTTAGCATAGGAGATGCACACATAACCTTTGTTATTATCAACCAAGATACATAATGACGCA